GAGGGACTGCAGTTCCACAGAAACAGGGAGGGGCTGGGAAGCTCATTTTCAGATGAGAAAACACTTAAAACCAAGCATCCTGTGCATTTCAACCTTCCTCCTGGTACAACACCCCTGACAAACATTTGGTTGCCCCCCAGTGATGGGGCACTCACTTCACCAGGTAGCCAGTTCTACTGTTGGAAGACTGTTTAGAAAGTCCTTCTTTTTCTGAGTCCAACTCTATGTGCTCATCCCTGTCTTTTCTCATGCACCTCCCTCCTCCTATATCTCACATATTTGTTCAACAAGCATTGGTTGAGATCCCAATGGGTGTCCAGCCTGTGCTAGGCACCAGGCACATACCAGTGAACAGGACAGGCAGTGTCCCTGTTGTGACAAGGCTCCCAGTCCACCTCTCTGGCCTTAGCAAGGGTCTCCTCCATATGCCAGCTGCCTGGACACAGAGCCCGCTGTCCAGCAGGCTCGGCTTGCATCCCCATCTTTCTCCACCCAGTCGCTCAAGAGAGAAATGTCCGTCTCCTCCCTCAGGAATAACTGCCAAAATCTCAAAGTGAACCCCAAGAATGCAAAAAAGACTTTTAGCATGTAGAGTTGGGGGAAGGGGAGGAGAAGAGCGACTCTGATCACGTGGCCCCCACAGGCCACAGGTCACACCATGTCACCCTCATACCAACTCCAGGAGTAGGCTTTTCTATCTTCATTATACACAGGAAGAAACAGTGACTCACAGAGATGGAACAACTTGCTCAAGAACACACAGGAGAAGATGGCTGAGCAGCCTCCAAAAACAGGCCAGCCGTGTAGCCCTCTGCCTGCACCATGGAGTCTAGGATCCTGCAGTGCCCGCCTGCGGTCCTGGCCTAGGCAGTGGAGGTCCCTGATCTGTTCTCTGGGTGCTTGCTTGCTCCTATGGAATGAGCAAGTTTGAGTGGATTATTCTGAAAGATGAATATGGCTCATCTACAAATGTGAGTGAGATTTTCTTTTCATTCAAAAGGTTCTCTTCTAGCTTCCCAGCACCTGAGAATGGTGATTAGACAGGAGCCACGCTGACCGCTTGGTATGTACAGGCAGCACATCCTCCCCTCCATGTGCCGACCTACCCTCCTCTCTCATCTCTACCCACTAGAATGGGCACTTCACAGGGAACACACTGGAAGGGGAAAACTAGACTCAAGGTCAGCTCACCATCCCTCAGCCCTAGAAAAACGCACATACCCCTCTCAACCTCCTCCCTCAGAACTACCCCAGGGCCAGAATTCTCAGGCCCAGCAGTAAAGCAAATTCTACTGAGTTCAAGAGGAAAAGTTGGTGCCAAATCTTTGGCTGTGGAATCTGATCCTGAAGGACACGTGTGGGGCTTGTCAAGCCTGCACGGGTGTCTGGTCTCAGCCCTCCTTCTGCCCTCTCACCAAGTCAGAACTCCACTAGCACCGGGCTGCTTTAAACAGGGGAGCTCATTCCATTACCGCTGTGCTCCTCCTGCTTTCAGGGCATTTGCCCAACACCTCAAGGTTCGACAGCGGCAGCCTGCTATCACTCCTATCACTCATTGTTCTTTTCTTCCAAACAGTGGAAATAATAGAAATTGAGAGCTTTCCCCTGCTTTGGCTCCTATGAAAAGGAAGCTCCATGTATACAGAAGCTCACCTCTACACAGAGACTTTATTTTTCTTACTACTATTATTGTATTATAAATATCTTATTCTTTCATCTCTCTTTATCTAAGTTTCCTTATATCTACTTCATCTTGCCCCAGTACCTGGATGTTAGTGCCCCAGCTCAAGTTATTTTTGGAATAAGGTGAACTCTAAGCCTCTAAAGGCAGCCCTTGGAGTGAATAAAGGTGTGGAGGGTTGGGGGGAGAAGTCGTTCAAAGGAGAGCAATGTAAAGGGGGCACTGAGTTTCGAGAGAAGACCAGACAGAGTGAGACCCCGCAGAAGCAGGGAATCGGCACACTGCAAGAGGCCACGGGACCAGCTGCCAAGGCTAGTGTGATTTCTCCATCCACTCTGATCTGTAGCCAGTGGTTAAAGAACTTCTGGTCCTGTTTTCCAGGGATTTTCGTGATGAAGCTATTTGCAGGAAGAGATCCCACGTCTGCCCTACTCCTGCCTCAAACTAGACCTATTTCCCCAGGCGCATCCCTGAAGAATGTCACGCTGTTTACAACAAGCTCCATGAGCTTCCAGTCTCCAATCCCTAGGAAATCAACAGAGCAAGGAGCCCTGATCTAGATATATTGCATCTCTTGTGAATCACTTTCCTCTTAGACAGAAAAGCAGGGGCTGTGCATTGATTCCACTTTGCTAACTAACATCTCCTGAGCTTGCTGATAGTTTCTAAATTGAGTCATATCTCCAAGGTGACTGTAAACATCATCATTTCTGTTGGCCCAACCTGCTACCTGCAATTATTCAGGTTAATGCCAAATGAGCACAGGACAAGCATTCTGGCTGGGCTCACAGCCACTTGGACTCCTCTATGCCTTGGACAGGCTGGTGGCCAGAGCCCTAGTCCCCTGTGCTCCACAGGCTTCTCACACGTGGACTGGCAACCTGCTCCTGGCAACATACGGGAGGTGGGGACAGAGGGGGTGCTGTCAGCAGCACAGCCAAGAACCCCCTGTGGTCTGCATTTGTACTCGTCTCAACGCACCCAGGACAGAACGCCCAGGAGGGCCAAGGGGACCTGGGCTTTTCATGTGAGACTGTCCTTTCCTCTGAACTAGGAAAAAGCAAAGGAACAGAGGGAAAGAAGACCTGAGGTTCCTAGAGTCTGCGTCTTTCCCTGTCCTGGAGTCTGAGCAGAAGCCCATCTCCCCTGCAGGCTTCAGCCCAGGATATCCTCGGGGGACCATATGGACCCAGAAGGCCTCTGGCCCTCACTTTCCCTAGGAGTACTCTCTACCTTCTCTTTTCCTTTGTCTTGGTTTTAAGACAGACAAATAAGTTGCTTTGTAAATTTTAAAGTGTAGAAAAGCTATCCCATTCACAAGTGATTATAACATGTGTTGACCCCATACTCTCAATCTCTGGGGAGGAAAATAAGAAAGAGAAGAACAGGTGAAGGCATGGACAACAGGAAGTCATATGGAATGGGGGAGAAAAATGGAAGGGAGAGATGGGGGGCTACAAAGAGAGAAGAGTCAGAGTACCTGCTGAATGAATGAACTGAATGCTGAAATGCCCTCACTCTAAAAGCAAGACACTAAGGGTCAAGAGGAAGGGGAGATGCCTCGCCCAAAGCCCCACAGCCAGTAACAGCTGGAGGGAGAACTGGATCCCAGGTCTCCTCAATAGCCACTCTAAGGGAGTATCAGTCTCACTTACTCAAGGTCTGGTTAGAGCTCTTGGGTCTAGCCTCTCTAGAACCTGCCCAGGAAACAGGGATGGCTTGGTGTCTTATTTTATTTAGAACCCTACCCCCCACCAATACTGGTTTTTGCCCAGCCTAACTCCTTCATCGTGTGCCCCTCATAAGAAACCTAGCTCAGGGAGAAATGGGGGGTGGACAGGAAACCTCAGCTCTAGTCACTGCTCTGCCTCCAACTTGCTGCGTGACCTAGACCAAGTGCCTTCCCCTCTCTGGATCCCTGAATCCTCTTGGTAAGGCGGGACCAGGGACTGTCTGATAAAGGCAGGCTGACTTTGCTGAGTCCTCACAGCAACCCTCACCCCTCACAGCTAGAGCGGCAGACTGCAGGTGCTCAATAAATATTGAATGACGATTGACCTAGGTAGTAACACAAACGCTAGGCTAATTGAGAGAGCTGGGACAGCCAGGAGCCTGTGGTTTGGGGAAGAGAGCAAAGCAAAGTTATCCAGCTGAATGAAGGAAGATTTCAGCATGCACGGGATGATTGTGTTCGAGACTGTTGGGAGCAGTAAGGATTATATCAGGAAACAGGACATGTTCGCTGTCTCAAAGGCAGACAGGTGAAAGCAAACTGCTTGGTCTCTCTTTGCAAACATTTGAGTCCCTGGCATCCCAGTGCAGTTTTATGTGCTTACCCTCAAACACAAAGGTGTGAGTTACTTACCACCACTGGTTACTACTCCAGCTCTTGGCAAATGGTGGGCAATGAGGTAGCAACTACCTGGAACTCCTGGCCACCCTGAGACAACTACAAACCCCCACCACAGGAGCCTGCCGCAGTCTGCGCTCCCCCAAACCCCCTCCCCGCAGATCTCCCCACTCTATCCTCTCCTACCAGTCACCCAGACACCAGCCAAGCTTGGACAATGGCCCCTGGTCACCCTCAGCCCTGAAGTTCCCTGCAGAAATCACCTAAACCTCAAGGTCAAATCAGAAAATTTGTATTCCTGCTCCCTTCCCTTCTCCCAAACCCCTAGCACAAGCCACATTACCCAGCTCCCATACCTGCCTGCAGCACCCCGTGTTACCTCTCTACCACCTCCATCAAGCCAGGATTCAGAGCCTCATCTTCGCCTGCCCACAATGCCTGGTCCAGCACCTTCTCAGAGCTTCATTGGACTAATCAAATCGTCTGTCTCCCACTGCCCTTATTCAAACAAGACTCCCTGGGTTAACAGGCTGACTTGAACTTAAAATGGATGGATCTTGGGCCTCAGTTTGAAAGTTACCTCCAACACTCACTAACCATGCATAAACACAAGTCATTTGAACCTCAGTTTCCTGGTCTGCAATAAGGAACCATAAACCATACACCCTATGGGAAGCCTAAGGACTGTGCTAAGGGCTTCATGTGCATTTTCTCATTTCATTCCCCTACTGCTTGATGAGAGAGCCGGTACTTTTATTATTATTGCAACTTTACAACAGAGAAAGTAGAAGCTCAAGGAGGTTATGCCCAAAATCACTTGGCCAGTGGTTGACAGAGCCATGACTGAAACCCAGCTCTGCAGGATTCTCCCCGCAAGACGCCCTCAGAACCCTGGACATATGCGGAGGCAGCAGGAGCAGGGCCCTGCCCTGTCGGGCGTGCTCCTCCCGGTCTCCCGCCCCGAGCTACCTTCGTTGGGCGCGTTGGCATCCCAGACGCTCCACATCTGAACGAAGAAATATGGCGTCCAGCACACGATGAAGGCCAGCACGATGATGAAGGTCATCTTGACTGTGCGGATCTTGGCCCTGGAGATGAGCTTGACGCTGCTGACGCGTGCCAGGGCCTCGTGTTCCCTGCTGCCCGCCACTGCACCCTGGGGTCCCTCGGCCGCCCCTACTGCCGTTGTCTTGATCCGAATGTTCTGCCAAATCTTAAAGCAGATGAGGCTGTAGCAGGTGGTAAGCACAATGACTGGCACAATGTAGACGGCGAGCGTGATCCACGTGACATAGGCCTTGGGTCCCCAGGGTTGGATGAAGCTGGCCCAGCAGTCGAAGACACCGTCGGTCACCTCGCGCATGGAGAATATGTGCACCTGTGGCGCGCTGGCCACCAGGCAGCCCAGCCACGTGATGAGTACGGCCAAGCGATCCGCCCGGCGGTGGAGGGTGCGCAGAGGCTGACAGATGGCCAGACAGCGGTCAAGCGACATGAGCAGCAGAAGGTAGGTGGAGGCGAACATGCCCACCACCTGTAGGTACTTTACCAGGCGGCACAGCAGATCGGGCCCGTAGAAGCGGAAGGTGATGTCCCACAGCAGCTGTGGCAGTACCTGGAACACCGCCACCACCAGGTCGGCGATACTCAGGTGCTTCATGAAAAAGAAGAGGCGCGAGTGCTTGTGGCGCGTGGTGCGCAGCGCTAGCAGCACGCAAGCGTTGCCGCTCAGCGCCAGGAACAGGATGAGGCCCAGCACCGCCACCTCCACTCGCGCCAGGGCCTCGTTGCGCTGCGGCGCGTGGGTGCGGTTGCCCTCCGCACAGAGCGGCGCCGCACTCCCATTGACCGCCTCGGTGCTCCAGTTGGCCTCTAGCGCGCCCTCCATGGCTGTGGCCACTGCTGTGAGACCCTGGCCTTGCTGCCCTTATAGGCGTGGCGCGAGAGGGCAGGGCCCGAAGCGGCGTCCCGGCGTGCCTGGCAGTGCGCCTCGGGTTCCACTCCCGGAGCTCCGCAGACGGATCTGCTGGTGGGGGACCCTGAAACAAACCCCAGGCCCTTGAAAAGACCGCCGCGTTCTTCTCCCGACGCCTGTGCAGCGCTGGTGTCCCCCTCCCCAGGAACCCAAAATCATCTGAGACTCGGGGCACAACTGCCTGCCCCGGGATTGCTCAGCCGCCACCCCAGAAATCCCCGTTTAAGGTACCTCCTCTGAGCCTCTGGAAATGGGCGCGAATCTACCGGACCGCCAGTTCCTTGAGGTATTCAGTCGCTTTGATTGAAGGAGAGGGGAGAGTCCTAATTAGCCACTTTGTTCCAGGACTGGGACGCCTCACCCTAACAGCTCGCCTTGGTGAGGATTAAGTAACCCTGAGCCTTTCTCAGGGATCCCTAAGTTAGCTACCCCCGGCCCAGGGCCCTCGGCACTGCCACCTCCCGCGATACCCCCCAAGCCAGTCACCTTCCCTAGTAAACTTTACTTCGATTATTTCCTCTGCAGATCCCCAGCAGCCCGTGCCTGGAAAACTCCAGCTCAGGACCATCCTCCAACCTCCTCTTTCTAAGACGCTTAATCATTATCCCCCAACCCCGAACTTCCACAGCAGCGGCTTCCGTGGAACCCCAGTCCAGCAGACCCTCGTAGAGGAGCTCCTGCCTCAGTACTACTCCTAGGATGTCCAACCGCTGTCCCCCATACCCCACCCGCGGGGATCCTCCCAGGCTCGGACACCTCCCGAAGGGAGCCTCCCCAGCCCAGCAGCCTTGAAGGTTCAGGAGCCCGAAGCGCATCTTGGTCCCGATGATCAAGGGCTCTGCATCTTGTTCCCAAGCAGTCGGTCACTTTACAATCTTTCGGAGCACCCCGAGCGCCTACAGGAACCAGGGGCGCGAGACACTCCACCACTTCCACTTGAGTCCGGATGGCCCCATCAGTCCCAGCCACCCCAGCCACCGGTGGGCAGGACCCAGCTACCTGCGCCGAGTCCACAGACTGGCCTTAAGTTGGCTCCCTGAGTTGCACCACCGCGGACGGCTCCAAAGAAGCGTGGGCCCCCAGCCCAGGTTGGGGTGGCTGCTCTTGGCACCGTCTGCCACTATGCTAAGGTCTCGGACTCTTGACCCTCGACTGGAATACCCTCTCCCGCAGCCTTGCTGGTCGCTGGACAGGGACAGACAGCCAACGAGGAGCGCCGCCGAGGCTGTGCGCGCCGAGGCTGTGCGCGCCGACAGCGTCAGCACGCGGCGTTGTCTGCAGGTGCCCCGCTTTTCTGCAGCGAGTGGCAGGAACTGCATCACTACAGGAATCCGCCGGGGGGCGCAGGAGGCCGACATCGCCGACCCCCGCAGAGCCGGGTTAAGTTGCCCAACTTTGGCCTCTGAGCGGTAACAAACAGGCTTTTTTTTACACCGGCTAAAAACTGCAGGAGGGAAGGAGCTCGTAAATAAACCAGTTCCGGTTCGTTTCCTTTCTTAGTTTAGAAGCTTCAGACTCTCAGGCAATGGGAGGCTTGAATGGCAGTGTATTCCCCCTGAGTAGGTGGTGATGAAGTTGCAAAAGCATACAACTGATACTTCCCAAACACCAGGTTAATTTCAGGCTTTCCCATCCCCTGCCCCTTGCCCAGGAGTTTCATGTGATGGGTTTAGCCTTGAATTCAAGTGAGTCCTTGCTTTGGAATACTTTTACTCATTTTCCCATTCATGAGGGATCAGAAATGCCTTCTGTTCTAATCAGCACGGGGAGAGGTCTTCATTCTTTAAGTAGTTTTACAGAGAGATCTCAAGGCGGGGGTGGGGGGGTAGGGGGGGAATATCTTCATTTTAAAGTGATTCTGCTTATGTGAGGCCCTAAATTATTTCTGCCTCTTTGTCATGTTTCAAAAATTAAAGTCTTAAATGGTGCCAAAGAAAGGTTAAATGTTAAAGACTGCTTCTCTGGCTCCTTAGCTTCTTTGTTTTAAAACTGTTTTTTGGAGTAATTTACAGTGGCAAGAATTAAGGCAGAAAAAAAGTGAGGATTTGAAAATGAACGGAGCTCTTTACAATTTATTAAATGTGTATTTCCTCCTGACATTTCACTTCTTTTAATATGTGGATAGAGTTGATTTGGTCAAGGACCCTGTTTCCTGATTCCGCAATTACAGTTCTGTGCCAAGACACCCTGGGCGCAGCCTCTTAGTCAGCCCTGGTCCTAGGGTACCAGTTCATTCAGCCTGGTTCCAGGGTGGGCCTGAGAATTCCAATTCCTGCAATATTGTGAAGGAGTGAGAGGCAGGAGTTGTCTTTTTCTTGCCCTTGGGATTTGTACCAAAACATTGTGTGTGTGCGTGTGTGTCTCTCTCTCTCCCCCCGCCCCCCGCCCTCTCTCCCCTTGGCTGGTAGGCTCAGGAGGTTGCAGATTTGATCCCTGATAGAGATGGGTACCGAAGGCAACCAATTGATGCTTCTTTCTCTCTCTCCCCCCTTCCTCCCCTTTCTTTCTCTAAAATCAATGAACACATCCTCAGATGAGGATTTTCTTTTTAAAAATTCAACTGAGTGAATTTTAAAGATTGTATTGGCTTTATTTAATGATTCATGAATCAAGCAGCATCCAATCTGCAAATAGAAAGCAGCTCAGAGGATTTTTATTGAAAGATTTTACAAAATGAAAGATTTTTATAAGCAGAAAGGGGTGGGAACAAGGAAGTTATACTAGGTAAACAGCAAATTGCTTATTGCAAGGTTGCTTTCCCTGTCGGGGATGACAGGGGTTTAGCAGGCAGATTACCTAGTTAATGCTGATCAGGTGATTCCTGAACAGTTTTTGATTCCATCTCTGAGAGAATGAAACTGTAATTCAGTTAAATCTCGGTGTGACAATGTGGGACTTAGCATAAGCTATTCCATTTGGGGCCTGTTCCCTTGTTTTTAACAATATTAATCAATAATATCTGTTACACAAATTACATATTAAAGTTACAGGCCAGTCAGGTGAGGATTAAGTAACCCTGGGCCTCCATTTCCATGGAAGTTAAATGAAGGCAGATTGGGATAGCTAATATCTCTGAGATCACATCCTCTGGTTCTCTGGAATATAATGATCTATGCTACCTCAGAACTTAATTCTAAGAGGTAAAACATCTACCCCACTCCACGGACAGATGAGAAGGGGTTTTCCCTAAACACCCTGAGTGGTAAGTGCTGGAAGGAAAACACTGGGTCTGCACACCCCAGCCTGCCCCTCGCTCCCCAGGAAGAGAGCGGCTCGCAATGAACCGCTTTCCAGGGCTGGGCTCCTCCGTCTTGTGCCGAATTCTGGGCACACTTAGCAGGACCACTTGGTTTCCTGCAAAAGTTAAATCCTCATTTAGCCTCCATCAGGGAAGGCGGGGGGAAGTGAATAATTTCATTCCCATTCCTATCTTTTTAAATTTCTCAACATGTGCAAAAGCCAGACAGGGAAGAGAGATGCTATTTACTGTGGGGTCCCCTTGAAGACTCCTCACAATGAATAACACATGCTCCCACCCCCTGGACCTCTAGCCAGGGAGACAATCATTCACGTATCTGCACTACGATGATAAATACTAACACAGGGCTAGGGCAAAGTGTGGGGGGACACTTGAGGGATGGTGTCACAAAAAAGGCAGCTGGATTTTGAAGCCCAAGATCAAGTTCTCCAGGGAGCAAAGAGACAAGATGTTCTCAAGAGCCATTCCAGGGTGTACATAGCATTTGAGGGCACTGAATATTCCATGTAGCTGGGATAAGACTGATGCCCCTAGTTAATAAATACTTTTCAGTGCTGACAGACCTTGTAGGTCATGCCAAGGATGGATTTTACTCTGTAAACCAATACTCCCCAATATATGGGATAAAATACTTTCTCTGATGATACTCAATATGTGGGTTTAGTATTGAGAGGACTGAATAACATGGTGATGAAATTAGTTCCTTTTCAGTTGTTTCATTACTTTTGATTTTAGCAAGGAGAAAGTCTGATATAATAAAAACTGCAAAGGTGGAGCCAGCAGTGGGAAAGGTGAGGCATGAGGAAGGGCTGTAAACAGAACACAATGAGGTTTATCCCAAAAAAGTCTAGACATTGTTAATATAACAAAAATGGTTCACGTGACATCCACATAACCTAGCAGCCAAAGAGAGTGAACTGGAATGCACATGCCAGAACGATGACGACTTCACTGTATTAGTCAGTGTGGGTGGCAGGTACTGTTGAGTGAGCATGTGTACAACGTGGTCATCACATTCAAAATGACTAAGCAAGTAGAGCAACAAATCTGCATCAAATTTTGTGTTGAAATTGAACATTCCTCCACAGAAACTATTTGGATGATTCAGAAGGCTTTTGGGAACAATGCAATGAGTGCAGCACAAATAAAAGTGTGTCACAAATGCTTCAAAGATGGTCAAGAATCTATTGAAAGTGATCCACATTCTGGAAGGCCTGCAACAAGTAGAACACCTGAGAATGTTGAACATGTACAGGCTGCAATCAACAAAGATCGGTGACTGACAGTGCGAGATCTAGAAGCTGATGTGGGGATTCCAAAGACTACTGTGCCTAAGATTTTGACACAGGATCTTGGCATGACATATGCCATGGCAAAATTCATTCTGCAGCTTCTGCTACCAGAGCAGAAGGTATACTGTGCTGTAGTTGCTAATGACTTGATTCAAACTGCTACCAAGGAACCAGATTTCCTCAAAAAGTTTGTAACTTTGAAGGGGACTGAAGCATCATTGTCCTATGTACAATGTTTATTGTATCTTCTTCAATAAATATCTCTATTTTTCATATTATATGGTTGGATACTTTCTGTGCTTTAGTACGAGAGCCTTGGTGGCCACAGGGAAGATGGAAATGGAGATGCTGGAATTAAGGAGTCTCATAGGGGTCCAGGGAAGAGATGCTATCTATACTCATGGACTAGGGGGCTGGCATTAGAGAGTGTATTAGTCAGGGTTTGAGAAAAAGAACCGATAATAAACATGTGTGTTTGTCTGTTTATCTGTCTATCTATAAAGA